CTCCCCAGTGCTCTGCATAGTCTTCTCCAAAGACTTCAGCAGTTGTTCCACGAGAGCCCATTCCCTGCATGCCGCTAGGCCCAGCAGCCTCTGGGCTTCTTCTCTGACGGTCGCGCTCATGGAGCCGGGTTTACTTCCGGGCTGCGACGGTTCTCCCGTGGTCGCACCGCCATTGCTTCCCGTCGAGACTGAACCATCATCTTCCTTATCGTCCGACGGGCTGTCCTCTTTGCTGGAGAGATTATTCTTGCCGTTCTCGCCTCCCGGTGGCTTCTCCCTGTTACTGCTCATGCTATTTTACGTGTTTCAATACGTGAAACGCAAATAATTCGCTCGAACGTCTCACTCTCGCTCAAAATAGCACATTGTTAATTTTTTTTTTTTACACGAAACAATGAAAATTATACCACCACCGGGCATTAACTTTCCATTTTGTGCGACGTACACTTAGCAGAATGCAAGATACTACAACGTTCACATATATTTAAATGGCTTTGAGAGCGATTTTGAGAGCTAACGAGAAATAAAGAAGCTTTATACTTTATAGAAGCAAAACACTTTTGTAAAATCGAGATATATTTACAATAATCGCGAATAGGTTTCAAAATATATCATCGGAGTAACATATTTAAAACGTTCAGAACGATATTTCCAAGAAACGCGAAATAAGTGTTTCTAACAAAAGCTTGGAACTATCATTATATAGTATTTAAGGTTTTAATCTTCTCATCGCGGCACTTATAACAACTGTGATATCCCGGAATTAATAAATATTTGTAATTGAAACTAAAAATAATAAATTAATAGATTTTCAATTATCAACATTTGAAATATAAATGATTTACAAAAATCAGCGCGATAATTATTGCGTAGTAATTTTTTAACAAATTAATTAACAGCAGTTATCATTGCTTATATGAATTTAGACATTTTGGCACAAACTGGTGGCCATCTTCACTATTACATAAGTATAACAGCGAACGTTCAATTTCTATCCACATCACAATACCTAGTGAAACAACACCGCAGTAGAAGGATTGAGTAAGGTCTGAAAAAAACGTACTTCCTTAATTAAAATATTATCTTATTATTAGTTTTTTAAATAATAATTTTTAATATTGCAATAAAAGGACTGGGTGAGATAATCTGCAGATAACATGTTTGTTCAATTAAAAAATTAACCAGAGGCATAAAACGTGCCTCCTTAATTAAAAAATTAATCTATTATAATAATAATAATAGGTTTCTTTTTTAATTAAAAGAATTATGCCCAATTTGGGCCTGGAGTGAACAATCATGAGTTATATGTATATCAATCGATATAAGAGGATAGTCTCGAAATACAAAAGGTTTTAATTGCTAAATTGAAGTCTGGCGAACGGTAAGAATCTTATTCCTTTCATTTTCGTCTTCCTCATCGGAGTTCTCTAACGCTATGAAATATTGTTGGCCGCGACACACACACACACACACACACACACACATTTTAATGTTTTTGATATAATCCGTTATCGCGGGAAGACGTCCTGAATGCAGAAAAATCGGATAAGACCTGTGGTACAATACAGGGTTATAATAGCAAACTTTGAACAGCTCTAACACTTCGGGGACTTATTTTACAAGGTTGGCCTTATGGAATTTTTTAAAACTTTAAATCTTTTTTGATTCCTTACAATTCTTATACTCATGTTTCAATGCTATTCACCGTGAGCCCAATTTCAATAATAAAACTGGAAATAGTTTTTTTTAACAATAAAAGAACTGGGTGAGGTCTGTAGATAACGTAACTCTTTAATTAAAAAATTAACCTATGATAATAGGTTTTATTTTTAATTAAAATTTTTTAATTAAAAATGATTAGTTTACCTTATGTTATCTTTCAACCTTTTTGCGTTGCTATAAACACATATGACATATTGCTCAACGCATCGTTCGCGCTGCAGCTACGTGGCGAAGCATTATTTTTTACGTTTTAAAGTTCATTCAATGAAAAATGTTGGTTGAGCTTCAGAAAATGCAAATTGTTGAAAGAGAGACAGTTGTCAAAAGGAGGATAAATTAATAATGAGCTTCTTACATTGGAGGACATTACCTATTTTAGATATTCATAGACCATTTACCGATGCCGTAGGAGAGCAACACAGATTCGTCTCTTCGAACGAGAATTTGCACTACTCCGTAAAAAAAGACGCAGTAGACATTAATATATAAAACATTTACGAGGTGACTATACTTTGACCTCACCGTGACCTCACCATCTGCATTTCAGAAGTTTTTCCGTGAGCATGCGTAAATGCACGTGCTCCCTGAGAAGCAAGGGAGAATGTTGAATTCATAAAAAAATGCCAGTCTCCGTTTAATCTTAGACATGGACAGTTTTACAGAATTAGCACACGTAGGTGTCTAAATTTTTATATATTTTTAGGTACGAGTTTCTAAAACAAGAACGACTGAAAGATGTGTTAACTGTGTCTAGGTAATTGATGAAGGTGGCGAAAGTGTTTTCTCTCTTTATTATACGATGATATTGGCTTTTTAATTCTTAATAATATATTCGTATATATGTGTCTGTACTGCGTAGTCGGAGAGATTTTTATAAACAGAGTAAGTGCCTGTCGTAAGGACAAATAAATATTACATAGCCAGTGTTTCTTTTGTCAAGTTAAGAGATTTCCTAGAAATCACAATCTACTTTAACACTTTACTTCAAAGTTGGTTTTAAATTCATCATTTACATACGTTAGTGTGGAATCGATACATATTTCATGATGCAGCAATATTTACATGCCAAATTATAGTATTCACATCTTATGTATGTCTATAATTTTGAGTGTGATCGTTATTTTGAAAGAAAAATATTCACGTATGTAGTCGTTAATAATAAAGAATATTTAAAAATTATAAAATTGTAATTATTAATAAATATAATGTTATGATCATAAATTACGGGAAAAAAATATAATTGTTACAAAAATATTTTTAATACTACGCCCATTCCAAGATTTATGTATTACAAAATAAATGAAAATGTATTTACTGTCTATAAACTATAAATTAATTAAGTTCAAATATATATGTATATGATAGTGCCATAATATTTAATGTATTAAATACATAATACATTTTAAATTAATATAATTAATTGTAACGTTGTTTGCATTTCTCAACGATAACAAATCTAATTTAAAGCTAATCTTGTCCATTTATCATTTTCGCTATCCACAATGCAAAAATCTCCCTCGGGCTTTTTGTATTCCGAGAAAAGCAATTAAATTCAGAATGAAAGTGCTAGTTAAAAATAGTAAAGACGTAATACGGTTACGCGATATTGGCGGTCAAGTTCGTAGTACTCGTAATGCTTGTTATCCTTGTTTGATGTGTGTTAAATAACAAGAATGAAAAGATTCCAAGAGCGCTCTGACAATTGGATCGTAGCCACCGTACGCGTAATTTTCAGCGCTGGTTCACCCTGTGTGCCTACGTGATATGATCTTTGATATCAGTATCAGTGCATCTCCTGACTCTCTGGAGTTTCCAGCATTTTTAGACAGCAATGGAGAGCGAAGACATAACGAGATTTGCGAGCGATTTCGAACATTCTACATGACGTGGTTGACGTTATCCAATGCTGTTTTCGCATTTCAACTATGTTCGAATTCTTAAGCTACAAACCGTGCAATAAATCGTGAATATCATAATGTTCTCAAGTTGGCTATCTAGGAAAAAAAACAGAAGAAAACCTATTGTACTTTTGTATACTGTACTACTTGAAGAGATGTAAATAGCAAGAGAAGATTCTTAGCTTATATATATCGTACTCGTTTGAAAAGAAAAGATCGGAAGCGTGTGGACGTTTGAAAGTCAAGTGTGAATTGGTACCAGGATAAAGATTTTTGCCAGTATTCCTCTTGAAAAATGGCAAAAACGTTTAGACTCCTTAATGGACGATCTTAAGACTGGATACGTAAAAGCTAACAATAATGAACTCATTCACATGTTTGAGGCCACATAATAATATTAAAATTTTATCGTTTCAACGTTTTGATAAACGAAGACGGAATTACATTCGAAATTGGAGATGAGCTTAACAATGAAGATGAAAATTAGCGTATATTCTTCGAATGTGCAACAGTGAAATGTTAAATATATTAAACTTGAAAATTGCAATTTATTTTAATATATCCGAGTTGGTGCTTTAGAGTCCGGAGATGCATTCATGTCTCTATTATTTTTTAATTCAAATAAATTGAAATACGAAATGAGCTATTCACCATGTTGAATTCGGACGTATTCATGTCCGTATTATATTATTTTTGGATTCATATGGATTCGAAAAATCAGAAGCGCTAATTCAGAAATGTCGAAAATGAATTTATTTCAATCCATTTCAAATCATTTTTGCTGCATGGGCTCGACGCCAACATTGAATATTACAATATTACGTGCAAGACTGCAAGAAGATATTGATCCTAGCTTGTATTTTTAGAAACCTGTAGCCACGGTAGATCGCATCAGTTTTTCATCGTGTATTCTGATGACTTCGTCGCGGTGCAATGCTTTAATTGAATGGATTTCTAGCTTGGTAAATGCGCCGATAATAATTCGAGCATCGCTACTATGGTCGAATTTATCAACACTGACGAGCAAGGCATATTTTATCTACAAACCAATGCACAACAACCGTTTGGAAAGGGCAAGATAATATAAACAACCATGGAAATAGACTTCTGTATGTCTACACTTATAACATCTATATATATGTATGTATTTCATTATAATTAGCGATATACATATATCTTAAGGAAACGTACAAACGTAGAAAGTACTTTATTTATGTGATATCTGTCTATCACAAATACATTACGATGTAAAATAGGCCGATATAAAATAATAAAAAAAAAATACGCGTATAAAAAATTTTACATGTAGTAATGGGAGTATGCTGCGCGCATCGATTTTATTGTTCAAACCATTTCAGCGAGCGTCGCCTCTTCACTGGACGGTTTCTCGATTTCGTCTCCGAATCGCATGCGATACTTTCGACGGACTGCGTCCCAGTCGACGACGTTTTGTATTTTCGGAATATTTAATGAGGTTTGACTGATAGTTGGACTTGATTGAAGCAACGAGAAGTTAATTTGTTCCTTCGCTGCTCGCGGTAGAGGAAGCATTCTAGTATTCTAGAACAAAAGAGAAAGAGAAGGTTACGTGAAAGTCGTGTAATAAAAAAAAGATAAATAAAAATATAAAGAAAGAAAAGAAATCGTCTGAAGTCGTTTAATAAAACGCCTCGATTTTTCTTTTTGTATATCAAAATCAGGAGGACACTTGGGTCTGTTTCTTTATTAGATTGTTTAAATATATAGCGATATTATAAAATTCGCTAGTAAATTGTAATATTTTTAGATGTAAGTACGATAATATCTACGTACGGTAGAATATTTCGGAAAAATGTTTTGATGCATATCGGGTTCCATGTATCCACGCGATCTGCCGATTTTCTGCTTTTCAATACGTCCTTTCATACAAGCGTTCTTAAGATATTCTACCCATGTAGTAACAAGATTTAACGGCGCTGGGGCTGTCCTTGTTCTGAAAATACGGATCAGAATAAAATTATACAGTAAGGATTTGCAAATTTAAATAAAGGTGCATGAGAAATTACGCACTTTAAATTTTATGCAAAAGTCTAACAAAAAAATTACATTACGTAGAAGTTTAAAAAACTTCACTTATATTTAATTATCGATGTATTATTAAATAAGTTGTAAAAATCTTTATTTTTATTTAATTTAAAATATTAAATTTTATTTAATCAAGATCTAAAATAATTACATGAAAGTGTAATTGTAAAATTCATTTATAGCGTCGATAAAAATCGGCATAAAAATCAAAGATTAAGCAATTTTGTATTTGTAAAATACTCTTTGCTGCAATCGTGTTAATTACTTACTTTTGCATCTTGCGAATTAATTTGCTGAGACCATACTTCCATTCGATATCACTTTGTGATTGAATGTTGTGATACGTGTCGGTCATCATAGCAATTAATAGATTAATCAATACTACGACACTGACGAGCATGTATAATGAGAATGACACCTATCGAAATGAAAAGAATATTTATTTGTTAAATTTGAACAGAAGATAGCTGTATATACAGATAATTAGCATAATCATATTGTTTTCTGAAAAAATTACCTTGTAAAAATTTTCCGTCCACGACGGCTGCAGTTTCTTGTGTAATGACATCGTAAAGGCGTCGGTGTCTTTTTGGCCAAAAATAGCGAAGAAAAGATTCTCCGTGATATCGATCGCATTAACTTGCACTGTATAAACAGAGAAAAAGAGTAGTAAGTTGAAAGAATCTCGTTGATATGTTAATCTCAAAAAATCGTCGTATCCATCTATATTTCATAAAAAGTCATAGCTGAATTAGTTTTTCATTCCTACGCTAATACAGCGGTGTATATAGTACAATTGAGGCAGAACGAAACTAATACTCATTGCTTTATGATAGTTGCAGTTATAATTGCAAATTTCGGATTACACCACTGCTGATACAGAATGGATTGGTGTTATCGCTATTCTATTCGTTGTCATTCTGATTACAAGCAGGAAAAGTAATCATATTTACAATTCTTGGACTGTTAAACTGTAGAAGTTCATGCTGACGATGGATCAACTATCCTAATCTCCGTTCAGTAAAAATTGGCGATCAATCAGAAGAAAAGTCAGCCAGAGCTTTGTATAAAAACCTAAAACATGCGATGGGATGAACAGCGTATATCGAGAGATTTCGATGAGCGTAATAAACTGTAAAGAAATGTTTGGTATGACGATACATCGGTGAGAAGTTTTCTAAAACGCATTTACAAATGCAGAATGGATGCGATGAATGCGGCTTGCAACGTGAGAATTGCATTTCGATTCGCTTTATGCAAAAAAAGAAATTAAAAAGAACTGATAGAAGTTTATTGTAAAATTATGAATTCCTAATCTATGCGAAATCAGGAGTGGGTTTTAGAGTCATTGAATTCCTTTTTTCTACCTATTTCTACGTATTTTATTTTTATGATACAATAATGGAAAATAAAAAAAATTTTATATAATATAATATAAAGTTATATTTTAATTTCACATTTAATTTTTGAAAATCGCATGTGCGATACTTGTATGTTGCAAATAGAAAGAGGTAGAAGTGAATTTAAAACTTCTAAATTAAACTCCGATTTGAAAGATTAAGCGTTCATCATATTGCAGAGAAAAATTCTCTTTTGTCGAATTCGCTCTTTAATTTAGCTATTTCTTTTTACAGGGTGTACATTTACGGTGCGTGCCAGTTGAATTTTAAAAACGTGCGGATGATTGAGAGGTGAGTCCTGTACACGCGTTCAATTCTGATTAACGTTATCAATGAATGTACATGCTACACATTAAGTTTGTAAGTATGTATGATGACGTGAGTTTCGAAGGCATTTCTAATGTTACGACCTTACGTAGACATCCTACAAAACATGTGTATCGAGCGCCGATATATTACACGGAAAAATAGAGAATATCGTGAGCAACATATGATGCAGGCATACTTAATGATCGTGCATCGTTGCAATCGAGCCGTTACGCAATTGCTCTCTATAGATATAATAAAGATATATGTCGTACATGTATATAAATCGATAAAACATTCTAGGTGGAAAGAGAATTTTGTAATTAAATAATGTTGATAAACTAACCGTCAAATGTGACGTGGAACGATCTCTATGCACAAGGGTATTCCCCATGGTAGCCTCTAAAATGTGTTATAGGTAAATCGATTAGACTATGGATCACAAGGAACACAGGTTCTCTAGCAAACAATAACTGTACAACCGACACAAAGTCGAGACGCTTATTAGACGTTTATTTCGAAAATACTGACAAGGTCCTCCGTATACACGCCCCGCGGCGTATGTATGTATGTACAAATAAAACGCAGTGCGATCGAACGCATTTAATTGCGGCGAATCTGCGAATGGTAGGAAGAGCTTTGATCTCTCTTTCTTCTTCGGAGAGTTTTGTAATATATTGTTGACGGGGTCGTTCTTAGCATTTCCCGCCCCGTTCAAGCTCAAAGTCCAAGCCTCGATTTCTCGGCGGCGTTCGACATGCCTTCCAAAACCGCCAATGGATTCTCGATCGACTCCTTGGTCTCCTCGACCGGCTTCTCTTCGATCTTCTCGCCGTAAAGGTCTCTGTACTTGCGCCTGACGACGTCCCAGTCGACAACGTTGTCGATCTTGGCGACGTTGCGGAAGGACAGCTGGCTCCCGAGTGGACTCAGGTGAGCCACCGATAAGGCGACGCTATCCTTGTGGCCCACCTGCGTGTTCTTTTTTATTTTGGACAGCCACTTGGCGCCCATCCTGGTGCGAGGGGACAGGCGGGCGCCGCCCATCAGGTGCATCAGAGAGGGCCGTTGCTTTTTGGTCATGCGTTTCTTGCAAAGTTTGACGAAATACGTGAGCCACGTGGTCAGGAGATTCAGCGGGGATGGTGCCGTGGTGGTCCTGTCGCGTGATTAAAAATACGATCGATTAGTGCGACGCGGAGGAACACAATTATAAATGGTGCTTTCATGCAACGTGCAACAACCTACCGTTCCTTCGCTTCTTACTATATCTCTTTTTTTCTCTTCGGTGCGTCTTATTACCTGTGCATATTTCGAATGAGCTTGCTCAATCCATATTTCCACTCGATGTCCGACTGCGCCTGTATCCGCTGGTAGGTATCGCTCATCATGGCGATCAGGAGATTAATAAGCACCACCACCGACACCAACATGTAAATGCCGAAGGTGAGCTTGAAGAGGACGAGCGTCCAAATGGGCTGCACACGTTCTACCTTGAATTGTTCGTGTGTCGTCTGACCGAAGATGGCGAAGAACAATAACTCGACCGCAAGTACGGGATCCATCCTGACTGTAAATACCCGTTAAACAACGTGTCTCGTAAGATGCCTCGTGTATATGCGAGCGGACATAATGCAAAAATTCTCTGCCACTGCCCAAACGGATGCTATAACGCTGCCACTACGAAACGTCGCAAAAAGGATCAATTTCAAGCCATACATGGTACGAACCCCTCGCTTTTGCCTGTCGTCGGAAAAAGTGCCTAAGAAAAACGCGCTCTTGTCTAACGCGACGATTTCTAATTTTAAGCGCAAAACATAAAAGGAATTGGGAGACTTGCGATGTATGTATGTATGTTACGTGCAATATATATTATCCCAAGTATTGCAAATATTCAAAGAACATTTTTAATAGAAACCTTTGTATATTTACTTTATGCCTTTTTGACATTTGCGATATCAGGGATATTTTTATCATTACGAACCGTCCGTGTAAATGTCAATTAAAGTTAACAGCTGAGATTTAGCTTTAAAACATCCTTCCTTCAGAAACATCCACGGATTCAGTCAAGCCATCTTATTAACTTTAATTAATGTTTACAGCAACGGCTCTCTAATGGAAAACTCGTCGCAATGAAAGGATCGAGATAAAATCTGCGTCCCACGGATGGCACAACCATGGTGTCGCGGATGAATGATCCAACATTCAATGAAACATCGAGAGCGAGCAGATGTGATGGGGGATTTCGTGGCGATTCGGCATTCGCAGGCATCATCCGGTCAGTCGTGCCATGTGACGGAGGGGGGTATAATGTGTTCGGCGGAATTGGCCCATTCTCATAATATCTCACAAACAACATCGATTATATGTGAATTCCTACGAGATTCACGTATCACACGTCGAGAGACTTACTTACTTAGATGCTTAAATGCTCGGCTGGTCGCCGGGTGCGTCGAGGATCGCGCGAGGATCCTCTACGGTGGTCTCGCTCGATCGTCTGTGTCTGCGGTAGCGGTTTACGATTTTTTAAGTACTGTTCGTGGAGGGAGGATATCTTTAGCGCGCACTTAGCTCGCTAAGTCTGTCTAGTATAGATAATACTGAGCGCGATCGTATGTACAATGGCCGACGGTATCTTAGTCGCTCGTTTACCCGCGCTGTTTTTCACGCGGACCCGCACTCGGCAATCTCGGCCGAAGGGCGAGCAAGGGGCGACGGCGGATCGTTTACGTGGGCGGATTCGGGAGTCACCGGTATCGTCGAGGCGTTGAATGCCGTCGGCTCGTTCTCATCTTCATTCTCGTTCGCGTCGACCTTCTTCCCTTCTCAGGCTCGTTCCCAGTCAGGACCAGATACTTCTTCCTAATGTCCCAATCCATTATGTTCTCTATTCTGGTTGCGCTATTGAAGGACAGCTGGCTGCCCAGCGGGCTGAGGTGCACCACGGAGAGGGTCACGCTGTCCTTCGGGCGGACCTGACCCTTCTTAACCTTGGCCAACCATTTCGCGCCCATCTTGGATCTGGGCGATAAACGGCTGGCGCGCCCGAAGCCCATCATGTGCACCAACGAGGGCCGCTTGCGTTTAGCGGTACGCTGCTTGCACAGCTTGATGAAGTACACGGTCCAGGTGGTGAGCAAGTTTAGCGGGGACGGAGCGGTGGTAGTTCTGCAACACGCAATCGCGTTTCCAACGCGGAATGCTCCGTTAACCCCGAATAGCTCAACAGCGAGTTACTTAAGGGACTGGTGGAGACCGCGGCATACGGAGATTGTATGTAAAAGCATGTGAAAGCAAACGGTCGAACTGCAACGGTCATCTTGTACATGAGTCGCGGCGGGAAACGTGATGGAGAGTACGCGAAGAGTGTTGCTTAAAATAACACGTTAATTCTATTTATAACATCGATGTTCCGGCCGAACGTGGGAAAAGATAATCGGACATGCTATTTCGGAACCGCCTCGTCGGCATCACAGCGGTTTATCATAGAGAACGTTATATTATCGCATCGGTATATATTCGGAGTCGTAAAAGGTCGCGGGCTTACCTGTGCATGTTTCGTATCAGTTTACTGAGTCCGTATTTCCACTCAATGTCCGACTGCGCCTGTATCCGTTGATAAGTGTCGCTCATCATGGCGATCAGCAGATTAATCAACACCACTACCGAGACCAACATGTACACGCCGAAGGTCAACTTGAAGAGGACCGCGGTCCACTGCGGCTGATTGGTCTCGATCTTCAACTCGCCGTGGGTCGTTTGGCCGAAGACGGCGAAGAACAAATACTCGAAGGCGACTATCGGATTCATCTTTACTGGAAATACGAGGCACACACACACAAACACACAAGACGTTTCTTGATAGCTCTAAAGGCTCTTTCGTTTTCTTTTTTTTATAGCTCATTGCTTCGTGCCGTTACAGGCTACTACTGGTGGGTACTCGCTATTTAATATACGAATGCGCATGTGAGTATTCCATACATAACGATCGAGCGAGCGAGCGAGCGAGCGAGCGAACGAACAAACGGAACGAACATGCTCATGCATATCTTTTATATAGACTCTGGCCATGCTCTGCAGCTTGCGGCTGCGGACTAACGCCGAATGCATGCCATGAACCCTCTTATTGCAGGCTGCGTATCATCGTCGAGTACGTACTGTCACTCGTCTTTTCAGCCTCGTCGCTCTAATTCGTCTTGCATTTACTTATCCGAGTCGGAATGTAATTGCGCTTTCCTTTTTTTTTCCTTTTTTTCCTCTCATTCTTTTCTCTTCGTCCCGCGCCAAAAGATACTCGTAATGATGAAGTTCTATTGTCGGATTAGCGCGTTTCTAGGACGCGCGACGAGTCCAGCGATGCGTCTCGCTAATCGAAGAATGCATCCCGATACCGATGCGCCTTTTCTGATCGAGGCATAGCTATTAGTGATCGAACAATGGGCGACATTCGTCGTGCGTTCCATGCTGAATGAGAAAGAAATAAAGAGAGGAAGGCGCGGGTGGAGATTTTGAAACGTACCGCGCGATACTTTAGCAGTGGATAACAAGTTATGCGACATGCAGCTCGGAGATGCACGCCCTCCTCCTCGCTTGCCTGGCTTTGCACGACTTTGAAAAAAGGCGAGCGCGTCACCTCGTAAAATTTACTTGCATGCAAGGACACGGAGGATGAGAGAGATCCTTTTTCGGCTGAAGTCGTCCTATAATGGTCCGTTGAGAAGAAAGGAGAAAAAAAAGAGAGGAAACACGGAGGGAACACGATTCTCTGCGGGGTGTGGGTGTGGGTGTGGGAGTGGGACAGTCCGCAAAGTCGATCGAGTCACAAATAAATAAAAAAACGATCGTGCGATTGATGCACATCACGAATTGCATACAACATCGGGCGTCCACTAGCATAAACACGATTTCTAGCAACTCACAGTTATTACAGATATACATGTTATAGAGGTAACAGAGAAATCGCGCACGTACATACACATATATCGTGTGTGTGTGTGTGTGCGTTCATGTATGTATTGTACATATACAAGGACACATACGTACAGCGAGACACGGGGATGCACACGGGCAGAGGCTGTGAAAGAAACACGAGCACATATGCTCCGGCAGTAACGACTAATCGACAGCTAAATCAATTGCATGAACAGGTACGTCGTTCTCGAGCTTTCAGACCAATTTCATAAATATTTGATCTGCACGCTGCGATGCAGCAGGACGCTGCGCCGCTTCGCTCCAATCCGCGATCACGAATCTCCGAAGCAAGCAGGAGCATAAAATAGAATTTTGTAAATTCTGCAATTACCAATCTCATTTTTACGCCGGAGTATTTTAAGCGACTGCAATGTTTGCATAATAGAGATATATAAATAGAGATATATTATTTTCAACGAATTCTTCATCGAACGTTTTCGCTTCATCTTTTTACCGTCGCGTCGCGTCCGAATCGCAGCGTACAAATTATAATTATAATTGACATCCGATTATGCGTGTATTTTTCTTTTTTTCAGTTCTCTCGGTTTATTTTCTTTTCTTTCGCTTCGTATCATATCAGACAGCAGTCTCAGCAGACAACACACACTGGCCGATGCAAATGCACGATGCAGACGAGACACGGATCGTGTCCCGCATTCGGTTTCGCGTGCGCGATTTTCAATTCGGTTTCGCTTTCCGCGCGAGCTCGCGGATTGCTTCTGATTAATCTTTCTCAACCAGCTGAAAACTTACAATCTCTGCTGTTATCGTCACAGCACTCATTCTTTTTCTTGTAGCGGCCGTAGCGACGAGGAGGCGCCGTTGGAGGCGTCTCCATCAACCATTCCGTAGCATTGGCCAACAAATCTATCATTGCAATTCATTCGATTATGATTCTGTATCGCTCCGCATGTCTCTGAGTGTGATCGACATGAAGTAGACCTACTTTGGAATTTCGATAAGTTCGATAAGTGGTAAATTAAGAAATCTAACGCGCGAACTGTGTGACCGCGACGAGTCGATGACTCTTTCAAAATGGGAATAAGTTTCTTAAGCGGACGGGGATAAACGTTTGTTTCTGCATACAAATTACGCGCCGAGGGTACACAGTCAGTACAATTTCGAGAAGTTTAACTTCCGATCCGCGCTCTCGTAACATCGAGAAATCTGAATTCATCGAAATTGTACTCACGTACGTACGAGTTTCATAACTTCTGACGTAAACTAACGCAGAAGACGAAGAACGCGATTTGTGCTGATTTGCACAAAGGAGGGAGGGAATTCGCCGTTATCTCGGGTACCCACGCGAATTAGCACCTGCGTGGGCGAAAGCACTGTCTACGTCCTGTTAATGGAAAACAGTACCGCGCGTCGAAGCGATTGCCAATCTAAGATCTAGCCCTACGTAGGTATCTACATAACGTATCTACGGTACATGTCGTATCTACAGTACGTGTGCGCGTATATGTATATATCCTATAAACGGGGCTGTAAAGAATCAATTAACTGCGCCACTAGCTCTAGATTGGCGTCAAAGTATACTGTAAAGTGTAAGAGAAAAAGAGACAAAAAGAGAGACAGAATGAGAGAGAGAGAGAGAGAGAGAGAGAGGGAGAGGGAATGGGGGAGGAAAGAAGACTGAAAAGGGAGAGGAACATAGAAGTGAAAGTGACGTGTTTCGAACTTACCGTCGGAGAATGGTTTCTTTTGCTTTCTGTCCTCCAACCGCGCTTCCTGCGGCGTTTGGTTCTTGAACGCCTGATTGAGCGCGACGAAGTGCATGGAGAAGCCGAAGACGAAGATCGCCAACACCGCGAGGAATCTCGCGAGATCCTTCATAAGATTACCGATGATGATGGCCCACGGCCCGAAGAGATGGTGAAACGACAGAAAGTCCAGGATCTGCACGCAAGCTAAAAGGAAACTGAGGGCAAAAAGCTGGTTTCTTAGGTAGAGGAGAGTCGGCCAGAACGGTCTCTCGACGACTACGAATCCCAGCAGGTGAAACGCGACGCCGAATATGCCGAAGAGCAGCACCGCCAGCTTGATCCAACCGAGGCCGCTCTTGTCGCTGGGATTCGTCAGTTCAAACAGCAACAGTCCCGACAGCATCACCAGCAGGCACCACTCGTACCAGTACGGTATCAGGCTGGCCCTCACCACTGGATAGATCGGCGTGATGCCGACAAGCAATAGGAAGACCATCAAGTAAATATGCGACGTAAGATACGACATGAACTTGATGATAGGCACGTTATTGTACCTGTGCCCGAGCGGAAGGGCGAACACCACCCAGACCGGCGGGCACACGATGAAGGCGATGAACAGCAGGATCGTCCTGAACGCGTTCCAATTCAGGCTACCCTGCCACAGCTCTTGCAGGTAGCGTTGCACCACGGTGTGCGCGATCACCTCTTTCTGTTCGTTCTCAATTAACACGTCCAGGAACTCGACATTCCTGCGATCCATCGACGTCAAGATCCTGCCGGCCGAGTCGGCGCCCGCCGCCAGAGCTAGTAACTCGGTGGCCATTGCCTCGCACTGTTTCCCAGCCGCAATTAAATCCTTCGCGCGCTCCTTTTCTTTTTCAGAAAGCTTCATGTAGATGTTGGATAGTTTCGCCGCAGTATCGACCGGCGCGGGTGACACCAGGACGAATTCTTCGATCGGTTTGTTGTTATGACTTTTGCTGCAGACCATCATGTTGTAGACGAACTGTAAACGCAATAGTTTATTCGAAAATTAAGAAATCAAATTTGACAATAAAATTGGAAATTTCTGCAATATAGTTCGAATAACGTTGTAACAATTATTTGTTTGCGCCAAATGTAAGACAGATAAGAATTACGCAAATTATTTATATTTAAAAAATTGTATGCTATTCTAAATAAAATTACAAGCGTGTCTCTAGACTTCAAAATTATACTAAGCTTACATTTTTTAAATTAATGATATTTTAAATTATCAAGGCAAATATAAGATTCATCTTTTGTAAATGTGGTGATTCTAGATCTAATCGATATTCTTTATAGTTATTATGAGGACTGCTTGTGATTAATTGTACTGCGGTAAAGTTTTCTGCAATGATAAGGCAGCGGGATTTTTTATATGACATTGAAATATTTATCTCGTTTTAAAATTATCTAAACCGCACGTGCATTCAATAAATTTTCGTCTATGAAACCGACATAATTTACTTCGCGTGCGTACCTAACATTAGAAAGCAAATTTTTTTTATTTCGGCTTCACTTGACAAAATGTATAAAGTTTTCAGATGTCATGCATCTTTTCATGGCCATGCCACTATGCCACTATCTCATGCCATACCAAATGCAACCATATAATGTACAAACATTTCAAAAATTTAACTTTAAATGACTTTAGGCCATTATTCCTAACACTAAAATAACTTTATGAAATCATTTCTACGCAATGCGAAAGAAATTAAATTAAATTAAATATGAATTTCCCTACAATATGACAGAAGACGTTACATGAAAAATATTTTTAAATTAAATCGCGGAAGATATTTTATATATAGACAAAAAGTTAAAAAAAAAAACTGGTTTTATTAGATGACATGATTTTATATTTTCTATAAATTAATTTTCCTTTACAATGCATGAGATAAAAAAGGTATAATTTGAAAATTTTTAGTTTAAAATTCGATATTTGAGCAGATTTCACTTTAAGAATTTTTATTACTCCAGAATTTCCGTTGTCCTTTATATATCAGATAATGAATAACTTACCCTTCTATCTTCCATCAAAGCATACGTATCGTGTTCCTTCTCCATGAGGTATTTCAGCACATCATTGTGACCCTCGGATGCAGCAAACCAGATCGGTGCGCAACCGAGATTCGTCTCGGTTTTCGGAGATCCGCCGCTGTCCACGAGCAGCTTCACGACGTCCAGATGGCCGGCGCGTGCCGCACAATGCAGCGGTGTCCAACCGTTCTTGTCGGTGGCGTTTATTTCTGCTTTCTGACCCAAGAGGACCTTCACCATCTGGTAATGCCCGTGTGTCGCCGCGATGTGCAGTCCGGTCTTGCCGTAACGATCCGAACTATGCAACAATTCCGCCGATCTGCTCAACAGCAGACCCACGACAGTTATGTGACCACCGAGGCAAGCCAGATGCAAAGGGTTCCAGCCGTTTTCCTTCGTCGCTGCATCAACCTTCAGTCAGAACATCCTTATGTTCAATGCGACATTAATTTAGTCCGTCTTTTTAACAGCTTGAGAAAAATTAATGTAAAATTGTAACTTAAATTTATTAATTTAATTTTTCCAAAATAAAAAAGCATGTTAGTATAGCACATTGAATTTATGAATTTTTCTTAACTAGTTGCCGCGATATAATCTCAATTTACGATATACATATAAGAGTTCTCTAATTTTTGCCAAAATCATTGTTTTTAAGCATGTAATTTTATAAATATTTTTTACATATAGACGGAGTTTTATCTGAGTTTTTATGTCATAAATTATGATTGACTAAATCCAAATATCATTACTAATAAAATTATCGGCGAAGTCATACCTCGATACCCGTTGAATTGAGAAGAAGTTGTACAATTTTTTCATTTCCCGAATAGGCAGCCAGATGAAGAGAAGTCATTTCAGATTCAACCCCTAACTCTCCTACCAAGAATCCTCCAATTGGTGGATCGGATTTCACGTTTCTGGGTATGTGAGTTAGCAGTTTTCTAACCATATCTAAAATCAAACCAAATAGAGGATAACTGTCCCATTAGTGTGCCTGTTTCTATTAGTGTGCTTTTATATTTAAATAAGTCATAAAAATAAACTGGTACAAATAAATAGACAAAGTATTTTTTTATTAAGTTAAAGTATTAACGTATATAATATACCGAAGTTTATATTCTATTTTATAACTGTCAAAGTATAATAAACATTATTTAAATGGTGCATACCACGATTTAAAGGAATTAATTCGAATGTCTTAGCAAAAAAGATAAGAAGCGCTTACTCAATAGAAGAGAATAAATTGATTATTAACATAATTTACATCATGTAAAAATTGTAAAATGTAAATTATATCATAAATTGGTTTAATTTAATAAAATAATTTAGTAAAGTACATAAGTACTTTATAAGTGTTTTATGTTATTTATTATATGAGTCCAGTAATACCGCAAGATTTTAAGGCTTGTTCCTATTAATGTGCTCTCCTGTTTTCACTGTCAGCCGGCTAATTCGGCTAACCCAAAACCTAATAAGAACGCACTAATAAGGGACACATAAATACGGACAGGCACAGTAATAGGAGACACATAAATGTGGACAAGCACATAAATTGGGGGTCATTAATATGGCCATCGCGCCGTGGAGGGGCACACTAATCGGGATAAAAACATTGTTTTTATTTTTATTAAAATATATTAAAATATTAATATTTTTTACTGTGGGGTGCGCACGAAGTATAGTGGTTGCGAATGGTTGTTGTGGGAAGGGATGGCGTGTGCGTATGAGCTGGGGCGGTGTCAGTCGGCGGAATTCGAAGCGGGCATATCTGTACCGAACGAAAAGGAAACACCTTTGACTGATACATGTGTTTTGCGGCCGTGAGAACCTGCCCATGTGTATGTCTCATTTAACGGAAGTCATTACATTACATAAAAAAATTTTGTTAAGATAAAGAAATATTTGAAAAATGGATAATAACTTTAAACCGACAAATTGAAAGCTACAGTATTTAGTAATTAATTCAGTAATGAACGAATTTTCTTAAAGGCACACTAATAGAGACACTTACCTTATTCTCTTTTTATAAATAAAATATAAAGAAAGTATGAGGAAGTACAATTGAAAGAGTGCTATTTCATCAGTTAACATATTTAAGTCTCTTTTAAAAATACTGATATACGGATATATCGAACAAATATGTTTAAATTCACATTGAACGCATTCAATATATATTGAATATATATTGAATGCATTCAAATTTAGTAATAGGTTTTTACAACACTAATTCATTGGCTTTATCAATAATATTTTATCATTAATTAGTAATACTTTATACATAGATAAATAAATAAATAGATATGTGTGTGTACATATACAATATATATGCATATTTATTTATTTATGTATAGAGTATTACTAATTATTATATATATTAGGGTGATCCTTATTTTTCGAGTACAGAATCTGTTTTATCTCATAGTTCAGAATAATTTTTTTTTATAAAAAAAATCCCTGTAAAATTTTAACTCAATCGAATAATGGGAAAGAGTGCCGAAAAATGATTGATTTTTTGTATGAACTGATTTTTTAGGGTAAATATATATTTTAAATAATAATTATGAAAATTCTTATTTGTAAAGAATTTACTAAATTGTTATTATTGTATATTAGAAATGTTAAAGTGGCCTACAAAATGATTATTTTAATATATGTATAATATTTAACATGCGACACGATTTT